GAAAATTATGTCTTTAAAAGAAAGAGTGTTTTAAGCAAAAAAAGTCCATAAGGAAATAAAACAAGTATTGAAAACTTTAAAGTTGCGTAAGGCACCTGGATCGGATGGAATACCACCCGAGTTCTACAAATATTGTATGAATATCGTCCCATACTTATATATACTTTTCAATGCCATTTTAAAGACAGGGACTCTCTCTTGTGCCTGGAATATTGTCTTATAATTCCTTTGTATAAATCAGGTAAGTCAGCAAATCCCAACAATTATAGAGGAATATCTCTCCTAAATATAATGGGAAAAATATTTACTTCTATGTTGAACATATACTTAGATACTGGGCTGAAATCAACGAGGTGTTATCGGAATCCCAAGCTGGATTTAGAGAGGATCATTCAACAACTGATAATATTTTCGTTTTGCGGGCCTTGTGTCAAAAGTATTTAAGAAAACAGATAGAAAGAAAATGCTGTATGTACTTCGTCAAAGAGACGATCATGGTAAAATGTATAAAGTTAAGGAAAATATGTATAAAAATGTTTCTGCATGTGTGAAGATACGTAATAGCAGATCGGATGTTTTTAACACCTCTTTGGGTGTAAGACAGGGCTGTATGTTGAGCACATTATTGGTTATTCTCTTAATTAATCAATTAGTGTCTGAAATTTAGGTAAGTGAATGGCGGGGCATTTTTGTAAGTGACGTTATTGAAACAATTAAGCTGCTGCCCTTTCTAGATGTTGTCCAACTTGCAGACCCCGTGATAGAATTGCTAAGAAAATTAAATATAGTAGCATTATTTTGCAATAAATGGGCAATGGAGGTAAATATGGAAAAATCAAATATTATTGTTTTCAGAAATGTTGGGTTGAAGTTGAAAAATAGTTTTATAAATCTATGGAAATGTCAGCAACTTAACATTATAAATACCTGGGCATTATATTTTCTTCCAAGTTAATCTGGTCTAAAGCTTGTGAGACTTTTTCATTACAAGCTAGAAAGTAATGTTTTCCGTTATTCAACTTATGAAAACTTATCCAGATATATCTTTGAGGACAATTGTGGCTTTGTTTGATTCAAAAATTGCACCCATTCTATATTATGGTAGTGAAATTTGGGGAAATACACAGAGGGGATCTATAGAAAGAGTACAAAGTTTATTCTTTAAAAGATTTTTGAAACTGGGAAAACAAGCACCTACAAGTGCCGTTTTGGGCGAAGTTGGCCTTTATAAACCTTTGTATAAATTGTTTTAGCAGGTGTATAAGCTATTGGTGTAGACTTATACGTATGAATCCTAAGCGTTACCCCTATGCCTGTTATAAATGTTACAGTCACACGATGCGATTGGGGCTTTGAACTGGGTTTCACGTGTCAGGATGTTGCTATTTCAAACAGGTTTTGCTTATGTCTGGATTGCTCAGGATTGTGGAAACAGAGTTTCATAACTATGTTTAAACAGAGATGTGTAGATATGGAAATAAAGAAATGGTTTCAAAAGATTACTAGCTCAGAATTCCTGTCATATTATAATTCATACAAGTCATTACTAGCACCAGAGATGTATATCACATCGGGGGTTTTAGATAAAGACTTGATCTGTGTATAAGCTACGTTTCGCACTCTTTTTCATAGTTTGAAAATACGAAAACTGCGTTAGCGTAAAAATATGCGAAAACAAATGTTGATCAGCTGCTGCTATACTGTGACCTGTGTGAAAAATTAGTTGTCGAGGACGAGTACCATTTTGTACTAGTCTGTTCATATGATAAGCAAAGTATATTTATTCCACAATATTACCGTAAACATCCTTCTCATAAAAAAATAATTGAACTAATGTCCGCTACAACACATTCAACAATCAAAGGTCTTGTTTTGTATCTAAAGACAGATTTGAAAACCAAAAAAAACAAACAAACATAATTTTGTATTATGTATTACGTCACATATTATGGAATAAATCAGTTGTGTGAGATCCACAAATAAATTAACTATTAATGTATTGTACTCTGGGCAATGAGGCCTCCAATACTGAAAAACAGAATCTTGAACCTAGTAGTTAGTGATCAAATAAGAAAACATACAATTTTATGGATAACAACTTCTCGTTCTTTGCATTTAGTGACGCTTCGATGGAGATTCTGTACCGTTATCAAGCTGGAGTGACTACAACCACGTGACGAGAGGTATATATACAAGATTTGTTGTGATAAGCAACTGATTAAGATGACCCAGGTAATAGATATTCGTGTGTGTACCTCAATCACAGCCATGAACTGCGTGTCAAGGATGGATATACAATTTCGGAAAAACTGAAATTATTAATATGCGCAAGATATTGTGCACTCAAACGCAGACCTTCAACGTCATATAATCTCACGCAAGAATATTGTTGGTTGAAGACTTAGTTGTAAGCGCTATTACAAAGATGAAGTCTCCATACCATGCTTACAATTCTTCCTGAAAGCAACTATTTACAAGTCATTACATGAGTGAATGACCTTTGCACGACCTTGCATTATAAGTCTTTTGAGTTCATCAAAATTGATTTAAAAATCTTTCACTTTTCATCAATTAATCCTTAATTTCATGACATTTTAACCATGTTTTATAATTTGACCTCTATTGACATTGACTGTATATTGAGGTCACCCAAAGGTTCATGCTATTGAGACCCCGCCTTGTTGATCATATACTGTTTCATGAAATTCCAATCATAAATATCCATGTTATCTTGTACACAGGCTTTTTGAAGCCCAACACACACGAAGTCATCGTGCCCTTCAATATCATCCAAGCAGACATCACATATGTTTGCTTGGGAAATGAATTGTCATCAACCAAAGAGGGAATTAACATGAGACAGCAGCACATAGGTTCGACATTATTCTTTATTTCATTTTGTTAAAACAACTAGGCTCAATACAGTTATGATCCTCCAACAGATAATTACAAGAAAATATGTTCCACAATTAAATTAGGCATTCAAACTTCTCTTAAACTTTACATATTAAACTGCACATATATTTATAAGCAAAGGAAAGGAATAATTTTATGCTGTCATATGTCGGAATGTTAATGTACCCATTGACACGTATACATGTGGACTGTAAAAATACCTTGATCCCACTGAACATTGTAATGCTGCGTCAATAATCTCAAATATCCCAATTTATTCATATTCCGTATTGAAATCACCGATAAAACCCAACACTGTAAGGATATTTATTGTCCATCCGAATAATATATGTACCATCTCTTTCTCGAACACAATAGCCCCCCAAACGAAAAGGGAGAACCTTGTTCTCATGGCCATATGGCTGCAATATTGCCGATGCGATGTACAATTTTAACTCACTCACGCGTAGTTCTAGCAGCACAACCAGCACATAAGCAGCAGCACAACGTATTTATTCAAGCATTAATTTTCCCATTAAGTCAAACATTGAAACACTCACCTGAGCATCTTTTGTGATCAAATATTTCAAGGCAAGTTTTAAAAAGTTACAAATATCCGAGGCTCGCCGAGTTTTATTTACATGTATCAAAAAAATAATTTATGGATGTCAACTTCTTTATAATAAGGAACACAACTTTGAAGCAGAGAACATATTAAGTCTCGATATGTTTTAGCTTGGAAGACACGAGGGTGAGAGTCTACTCATCATACAAAATATTTCTTCAAACGTTTTCAGTTTGTAAACAGGAGTAACCAGTGCCTTGAGCGTAAATAGTGCAGCTCACAAGATTCAGTAGCAACGAGATTAGTTATGTCATTTTATTGTGATGTCATTGAAACCGATGACGTCACAGTGGTCCGCATAGTATCGTGATGCAATTTCATTTGTCACCCAAGCGATATCTGTTGTGGAATCTAGTTTGGGATGATAACTGTACATACTGGTAATGGCAAGAAAGCATAGAGCAATGTGAAAAATTAAACTGATCCCCTATTCACTACATGCAAATATAGTCGATGTTTAAATACACACTATAGCTTCAGTGGTACAACTTTGTTAGTATATTGTTAAATCCATTCCCCGACAAAATACACCTGAGGGTAACATTTGATTACCTGTACACGTCATTAACAATTCTTCGTGGGTTGGGTTGAGGGGTTGAGTGGGTGCCTGGATGATGGTTGGGGCTGGGGGTTATGGCGCTGGGAGTTTTGTTTTGTACTAGTTGGTTGGTGTGTTGTTTTACGCCGCACACAGCCATACTCCAGCTGTATGACGGCGGTCTGTAAATAATCGAGTCTGGACCAGACAATCCAGTGATTGACATCATGAACATCAATCCACGCAATTGGGATCGATGACATGCATCAATCAAGTCAGGGAGCCTGACCACCCGATCCCGTTAGTCGCCTCTTACGACAAGAATAGTCGCCATTTACGGCAAGCATGGGTTTCTGAAGACCTATTCTACCCCGGATCTTCACGGGTTTTGTTTTGTATAAACTGCATCAAGACATACTAATACGTTAAGTGAATGCGAAGAATCACTTCACTTTTGTTTTCTGTGCCCCCAGCAGTTACAAACCAGAGGCCCCGTTATGTTTCAAATCCTTTTTTTCTAAATAGGCGTGGTCAGAGTTCAAGGATTTGATTTTTGTACTCCAGCCAGTAGTAGTAATTATTTGGCCAAGATAAGTAAGAGCCATAGTAATAACATGTCATAGTAGTATCCATTGTAAAAAAGTGTCCAATGCCATAATCATTCAACAAATCAATAAACATAGGGCAAAGGTCTTTACATTGTTTACCTTTAAGGTCCTCCTCATATAAATAAGCATACATATACTCATACCTTATCCACCTAGAATTCGAGTTCAAGTTAGATGTATAGCAATACAAGTAAGGATCCTCCATATCATATGCATGCTCTGCGTAGTAATGACAGTAGTTGTCGTCGGACCGGTGTTTTTTGTTTTTTTAAAGTCTTCTGCCTTTGTTATAGAATTTATGGTAAAGTCTTGACAGTTCATAAAATAAAACATCTCAGTGGTAGTGGTTGTTGTAGTCGTCGACTCGGGCGTTGTTGTTGGTGGTGTCGGTGTAGTCGGTGTCGTTGTGGTTGTGGTTGTGCTCGATGTAGTGGAGCTGGTAGTAGGGGACGTTGTTGTGCTCGATGTAGTGGAACTCGTAGTAGGCGATGTTGTGGTTGTGCTCGAAGTAGTAGAGCTCGTAGTAGGGGACGTTGTAGTTGTGCTGGATGTAGTGGAACTGGTAGTAGGGGACGTTGTTGTTGTGCTTGATGTAGTCGAGCTGGTAGTAGGCGATGTTGTGGTTGTGCTCGATGTAGTGGAGCTGGTAGTAGGCGATGTTGTAGTTGTGCTGGATGTAGTGGAGCTGGTAGTAGGGGACGTTGTTGTTGTGCTCGATGTAGTGGAGCTCGTAGTGGGCGATGTTGTAGTTGTGCTCGATGTAGTGGAACTGGTAGTAGGCGACGTTGTAGTTGTGCTGGATGTAGTGGAACTGGTAGTAGGGGACGTTGTTGTTGTGCTTGATGTTGTGGAGCTCGTAGTGGGCGAGGTTGTGGTTGTGCTAGATGTAGTGGAGCTCGTAGTAGGCGATGTTGTGGTTGTGCTCGATGTAGTGGAACTGGTAGTAGGGGACGTTGTAGTTGTGCTTGATGTTGTGGAGCTCGTAGTGGGCGAGGTTGTGGTTGTGCTAGATGTTGTGGAGCTCGTAGTGGGCGAGGTTGTGGTTGTGCTAGATGTTGTGGAGCTCGTAGTGGGCGAGGTTGTGGTTGTGCTAGATGTTGTGGAGCTCGTAGTAGGCGATGTTGTGGTTGTGCTAGATGTAGTGGAACTGGTAGTAGGGGACGTTGTCGTTGTGCTCGATGTAGTGGAGCTCGTAGTTGTTGTTGTTGTTGTTGTGCCCGATGTAGTACGGCTAGTTATATCGGGTTTTCTCGTTGTTACTATTGGAGCAGGTGTTTGAAATTTGTTAGCTATTATCAAATTTGGAATATCAATGGTGGGTAGTCCTCCTCCTCCTCCTGTGTTAGTGGATTCTCCTGCAATCGCAATTTTTGTTTTTATTTTTTTGGTATTTGAGGGCCGATTTGTCGACAATGCTCAATCTATAATGAGGAACACAACAGTGGTCTTCTTCTTGAAGTAATATGCATAGCAGGAACAAATATACTTATGAGATTAACTATTAAGCGAAATGCCATTGCAGATAACGGTCTCTACGACAGCATATTTGGCTACAGGGACAGACCATTAAATATTCAGTGGGGAGGTGGGCCTGAGACGTTTTGTCTGAAAATTGGTTCAAGGTACATAGCGCCTTAGTGCAAAAACCCTTTCAGGATATTATCTTGAGCACACAAGATAATACATGGCGCTCTCTATAAATATAGTGGGCGCACTACAAAATATATTATCTTATAGTTCAGGTTGTGTGTACAAGAAAGAGAAAAGTCAATCTTTGAAATCGCTCTTTCAGGACGTGAATATTGACAGGAATTTCACATTACATCAAGACAAGACCTTTGGTTTTGTGAACATCATTGTTTTCACACTGGATAACCAGCCCAGGCTGATTTTGGAAGCTTGGCCACTGTTGCTGCGAGCCAAATATTAGTATCTCTGACTCTATTGCTACTACCACTGTCATTGTAATTGTACTGCCACACTATTGCGTACCGCCATTGTAATTACTTTGCAGTAATTAGTATTGATTTATAAACAAAGTGACTTTCATAATCCAATTGTTAGTTGCCGTTCCTTTGCCGTTTGTTGGTTTCACACTGAATTCTAATGCTTACAGATTTCTGGGTTCAGTTATTGTTCACTTCAGAAGTCGACACATAGCACTCTGTATCAGTACAAGGGGAGATGTTTTCCCTGTTAAAATGTGTAGGGACTCGTGAAGAGCCCAAGAATAGGGGGAGAATAGGTCTTCAGCAACCCATGCTTGCCCTAAAAGGCAATTATGCTTGTCGTAAAGGCGACTAACGGGATCGGAAGGGCAGGCTCGCTGACTTGGTTGATGGATGTCATCAACCCCAATTACTTGTATCGATGCTCATGAGATTAATGAATGGATTTTCTGGTCAAGACTCGTTTATTTACAGACCGTCGTCATATAGCTAGTATATACCAAACAACCAACTCAAATGTGTATGGGTAAATTTGTTTTCTTTCCATCCTATGCGACATAACGTTGTATTCAATTCAGATACATTATGCATCCTTTCACTTACTTTTTCGATCAAAGTCAAGTGAGCTAAAAAAGATGCCCCTATTAACAACACAGCATACATACGCCACAAAACGCCAAAACGGACGTACACACAATCAACACCATAGAAAACACCCGAACCTTGTTATCGCAAGGAGAATGTTGTTCAGACGATTTATTGGCTTCTCCCACTCGATCTTATACCCATTTCTCGCAAGATATTGTGCACTCAAACGCAGACCTTCAACGTCATTCAATCTCACGGAAGAGTGGAAGACTTAGTTGTAGGCGCTATTACAAAGATGAAGTCTCCATACCATGCTTACAATTCTTCCTGAAAGCAACTATTTACAAGTCATTACATGAGTGAATGACCTTTACACGGCCTTGGTTGGTTATTTGGAGTTCACCACAATTGATTGCAAATATCTTTCACTTTTCATCAATTAATCCAAAATGTCATGATATTTTAACCATGTTTTATAATTTGACCTCCAGTGACATTTAGGTCACTGATATGGAGGTCCCTCAAAGATTTATGCTATTGAGACCCCGCCTTGTTCATTACATAGCGTTTCGTGAAATTCCAATCATAAATACCATTGTTATCTTGTACACAGGCTTTTTGAAGCCCAACACACACGAAGTCATCGTGCCCTTCAATATCATCCAAGCAGACATCACATATGTTTGCTTGGGAAATAAAATGTCATCAACCAAAGAGGGAATTAACATGAGACAGCAGCACATAGGTTCGACATTATTCTTTATTTCATTTTGTTAAAACAACTAGGCTCAATACAGTTATGATCCTCCAACAGATAATTACAAGGAAATAGTTTCAACAATTAAAGTAGTCGATCAAACATCTCTTAAACATTACATATTAAACTGCACATATATTTATAAGCAAAGGAAAGGAACAATTTTATGCTGTCATATGTCGGAATGTTAATGTACCCATTGACACGTATACATGTGGACTGTAAAAATACCTTGATCCCACTGAACATTGTAATGCTGCGTCAATAATCTCAAATATCCCAATTTATCCATATTCCGTATTGAAATCACCGATAAAACCCAACACTGTAAGGATATTTATTGTCCATCCGAATAATATATGTACCATCTCTTTCTCGAACACAATAGCCCCCCAAACGAAAAGGGAGAACCTTGTTCTCATGGCCATATGGCTGCAATATTGCCGATGCAATGCACATTTTAACTCACTCACGCGTAGTTCTAGCAGCACAACCAGCACATAAGCAGCAGCACAACGTATTTATTCAAGCATTAATTTTCCCATTGAGTCAAACATTGAAACATGCCACTCACCTGAGCGTCTTTCGTGATTAAATATTTCAAGGCAAGTTTTAAAAAGTTACAAATATCCGAGGCTCGCCGAGTTTTATTTACATGTATCAAAAAAATAATTTATGGATGTCAACTTCTTTATAATAAGGAACACCACATTGAAGCAGAGAACATATTAAGTCTCGATATGTTTTAGCTTGGAAGACACGATTTCTTCCAACGTTTTCAGTATATAAACAGGAGTAACCAGTGCCTTGAGCGTAAATAGTGCAGCTCACCAGATTTAGTAGCAACGAGATTAGTGATGTCACTTTATTGTGATGTCATTGAAACCGATAACGATGGTCCGCATAGTTTCGTGATGAAATTTCATTTGTCACCCAAGCGATATCTGTTGTGGAATCTAGTTTGGGATAATGAATGTACATACTGGTAATGGCAAAAAAACAGAGAGCAATGTGAATATAAAAGGGACCCCCCTTTCACTACATGCAAATATAGTCGATGTTTAAATACACACTATAGCTTCAGTGGTACAACTTTGTTGGTATATTTTTAAATCCATTCCCCGCCAAAATACACGCGAGGGTCACATTTGATTACCTGTACAGGTAATTAACAATTCTTCGTGGGTTGGGTTGAGGGGTTGAGTGTGTGGGTGAATGATGGTTCGGGCTGGGGGTTTTGGCGCTGAGAGTTTTGTTTTGTACTAGTTGGTTGGTTTGTTGTTTTACGCCGCACACAGCCATACTCCAGCTGTATGACGGCGGTCTGTAAATAATCGAGTCTGGACCAGACAATTCAGTGACTGATATCATGAACATCAATCCACGCAATTGGGATCGATGACATGCATCAACCAAGTCAGGGAGCCTGACCACCCGATCCCGTTAGTCGCCTCTTACGACAAGAATAGTCGCCATTTACGGCAAGCATGGGTTTCTGAAGACCTATTCTACCCCGGATCTTCACGGGTTTTGTTTTGTATTAACTGCATCAAGACATACTAATACGTTCTGTGAATGCGAAGCATCACTTCACTTTTGTTTTCTGTGCCCCCAGTAGGTACAAACCAGAGGCCCCGTTATGTTTCAAATACTTTTTTCTAAATAGGCGTGGTCAGAGTTCAAGGATTTAGATTTTTGTACGCCTATCTATGTATAGATAAGGCTGATAATATATATTCAAAACGTTCCGTGTATGCAATATTTCTCAAATATCCCGAATAGGCGTGGTCAGAGTTTAAGGATTTAGATTTTTGTACGCCAGCCAGTAGTAGTAATTATCTGGCCAATATAAGTAAGCGCCATAGTAATAACATGTCATAGTCGTATCCATTGTAAACAAGTGGCCTATACCATAATCATTCATCCAATCAATAAACATAGGGCAAAGGTCTTTACATTGTTTACCCTTACTGTCCTCATCATATATGTAAGCATACATATAGTCGGACCTTGTCCACCTAGCTTTAGAGTTCCAGTTAGATGTATAGCAATAAAGGTAAGGATCCTCCAGATGATATAGATGCGCTGCGTAGTAACGACAGTAGTGGTCATCGATCCAATGTTTTTTCCAGTCTTCTTCTTTTGTCATGGAATTTATGGTAAAGTCTTGACAGTTCATAAAATAAAACTTCTCAGGGGCAGTGGTTGTTGTAGTCGTCGATTCGGGCGTTGTTGTTGGTGGTGTCGGTGTAGTAGGCGTCGTAGTGGGCGATGTTGTTGTTGTGCTTGATGTAGTGGAGCTGGTAGTAGGTGAGGTTGTGGTTGTGCTCGATGTTGTGGAGCTCGTAGTAGGCGAGGTTGTGGTTGTTCTCGATGTTGTGGAGCTCGTAGTAGGCGAGGTTGTGGTTGTTCTTGATGTTGTGGAGCTCGTAGTAGGCGAGGTTGTGGTTGTGCTCGATGTTGTGGAGCTCGTAGTAGGCGAGGTTGTGGTTGTGCTCGCTGTTGTGGAGCTGGTAGTAGGCGAGGTTGTGGTTATTCTCGATGTAGTGGAGCTCGTAGTAGGCGAGGTTGTGGTTGTGCTCGATGTTGTGGAGCTCGTAGTAGGCGAGGTTGTGGTTGTTCTCGATGTAGTGGAGCTCGTAGTAGGTGAGGTTGTGGTTGTGCTCGATGTTGTGGAGCTGGTAGTAGGTGAGGTTGTGGTTGTGCTCGATGTAGTGGAGCTCGTAGTAGGCGAGGTTGTGGTTGTTCTCGATGTAGTGGAGCTCGTAGTAGGCGAGGTTGTGGTTGTGCTCGATGTTGTGGAGCTCGTAGTAGGCGAGGTTGTGGTTGTTCTCGATGTTGTGGAGCTCGTAGTAGGCGAGGTTGTGGTTGTTCTCGATGTAGTGGAGCTCGTAGTAGGTGAGGTTGTGGTTGTGCTCGATGTTGTGGAGCTGGTAGTAGGTGAGGTTGTGGTTGTGCTCGATGTAGTGGAGCTCGTAGTAGGCGAGGTTGTGGTTGTTCTCGATGTAGTGGAGCTCGTAGTAGGCGAGGTTGTGGTTGTGCTCGATGTTGTGGAGCTCGTAGTAGGCGAGGTTGTGGTTGTTCTCGATGTTGTGGAGCTCGTAGTAGGCGAGGTTGTGGTTGTGCTCGATGTTGTGGAGCTGGTAGTAGGGGACGTTGTTGTTGTGCTCGATGTAGTGGAACTCGTAGTAGGGGATGTTGTTGTTGTGCTCGATGTTGTGGAGCTCGTAGTAGGCGAGATTGTGGTTGTGCTCGATGTTGTGGAGCTCGTTGTAGGCGAGGTTGTGGTTGTACTCGATGTAGTGGAGCTCGTAGTAGGGGACGTTGTTGTTGTGCTCGATGTAGTGGAACTGGTAGTAGGCGACGTTGTAGTTGTGCTGGATGTAGCGGAACTGGTAGTAGGGGATGTTGTTGTTGTTCTCGATGTAGTGGAGCTCGTAGTGGGCGATGTTGTAGTTGTGCTAGATGTAGTGGAACTGGTAGTAGGCGACGTTGTAGTTGTGCGGGATGTAGTGGAGCTGGTAGTAGGGGACGTTGTTGTTGTGCTCGATGTTGTGGAGCTCGTAGTAGGCGAGGTTGTGGTTGTGCTTGATGTAGTGGAGCTCGTAGTAGGCGATGTTGTGGTTGTGCTCGATGTAGTGGAACTTGTAGTAGGGGAGGCTGTAGTTGTGCTCGATGTTGTGGAGCTCGTAGTTGGCGATGTCGTTGTTGTGCTCGATGTAGTGGGGCTAGTTAAATCGGGTTTTCTTGTTGTTACTTTTGGAGCAGGTGTTTGAAATTTGTTAGCTATTATCAAATTGGGAATTTCAATGGTGGGTAGTCCTCCTCCTCCTCCTGTGTTAGTGGATTCTCCTGCAATGACAATGTTTGTTTTTATTTTTTCTGTATTTGAGGATCGATTTGTCGACAATGCTCAATCTTATATTAGGAACACAACAGTGGTCTTCTTCTTGAAGTTATATGCATAGCAGGAAAAAATATACTTATGAGATTAACTATTAAGCGAACTGCCATTGCAGATTACGTCTCTACGACAGCATATTTGGCTACAGGGACAGACCATTAAATATTCAGTAGGGAGGTGGACCTGAGACGTTTTGTCTGAAAATTGTTTCAAGGTACATCGCGCCTTAGTGCAGAAACCCTTTCAGGATATTATCTTGAGCACACAAGATAATACATGGCGCTCTCTATAAATATAGTGGGCGCACTACAAAATATATTATTATATAGTTCAGATTGTGTGTACTAAATATTATCATGTATGCATTCAAACATTTTATTACATTTCCATGAACAGATATATTGACATATTCCCTGGGGATCCCGTTGCTTGAAGCTGGTTAAACAAACAGTGACGCATTTATGATTGCAGGGTATTTTGTTGAAGCAGCGTTGTCATACAAGGGTACAGCAGTGTGCATAGGTGGTGTTTTGGGCACAGGAAACATGAGAGAAGCAACCTGCGGCAATCGCTCAGGGCAGGGGCAACTGACGGACAGAATCCCATTTTGTTTGAACCATAAGAAATTGACTGTTGGTTAGCCATTTTGAGAAGAGAGAAAAGCCAATCTTTGAAATCGCTCTTTCGGGACGTGAAAATTGACAGAAATTTCTCAGGTGACCACCTGGACAAGGGACTGATTCAAGTGCGTGTCTCTCTCATCGCACATTACATCAAGGCCAAGACCTTTGGTTGTGTGAACATCATTGTTTTCACACTGGATAACCAGCCCAGGCCGATTTTGGAAGCTTGGCCTCTGTTGCTGCGAGCCATATATTATTATCTCTGACTCTATTGCTACTACCACTGTCATTGTAATTGTACTGCCACACTATTGCGTACTACCATTGTAATTAATTTGCAGTAATTAGTATTGATTTTTACACAAAGTTAATTTCATATTCCAATTGTTAGTTGCCGTTCCTTTGCCGTTTGTTGGTTTCACACTGAATTCTAATGCTTACAGGTTTCTGGGTTCAGTTATTATTCATCAGAAGTCGACACAAAACACTCTGTATCAGTACAAGGGGAGATGTTTTCCCTGTTAAAATGTGTAGGGACCCGTGAAGATCCCAAGAATAGGGGAAGAATAGGTCTTCAGCAACCCATGCTTGCCCTAAAAGGCGATTATGCTTGTCGTAAGAGGCGACTAACGGGATCGGGTGGTCAGGCTCGCTAACTTGGTTGATGCATGTCATCAATCCCAATTACTTGTATCGATGCTCATGAGATTAATGAATGGATTGTCTGGTAAAGACTCGATTATTTACAGACCGACGTCATACAGCTGGAATATACGAAACAAACAACTTAAACGTGTATGGGTAAATTTGTTTTCTTTCCATCCTATGCAACATAACGTTGTATTCAATTCAGATACATAATGCATCCTTTCTCTTACTTTCTCGATCAAAGTCAAGTGAGCTAAAAAAGATGCCCCTATTAACAACACAGCATACATACGCCACAAAACGCCAAAACGGACGTACACACAATCAACACCATAGAAAACACCCGAACCTCGTTATCACAAGGAGAATGTTGTTCAGACGATTTATTGGCTTCTCCCACTCGATCTTATAAAGTGCGTGCAAGATAACTTTTATCTTGAGCACAACAGATACACGAGGAGTGTTCACGATATATTTCGTAGTGCGCAGATTATAAAAATAATTATTTTTATTCATATCCCCAAAGGGGCTCCGTACCGCGCTACCTTGTCATTTATTAACACATAAATGGTTGTGATATTGCAGACACGACTTTACGTTTTAGCTCAATCTAGATTTGTAACTCCTTGCTGATGGCAACAGTAAATGGACCTACAGAATAAAAGCAATATGCTTTACTTCCCCTTACCAGGTAGTGTACAACTTGCCCCCGATTGTGGGGTCTTCTTCCCCGTGTGATCGCAGGTCACTTTCAGAACCCCGGCCTTTTGGTAGCCTTCCTCACACAAGAAGCTACGGGACACTGCTGCCCCTGCCTGAAAGGTTGGCCTGCCGGTTGGAATCCAGTGATCAGGGACGCCAGCAGTCCAGTCTCTGCAAGTCGGATCTGTAAGACATAAAACAAATAGTATAACAGTACTGTAGTGTAACCGGCGACAGTTGAAAATATCAACAACGAAAGCCACATAAGTTGCTTTGATATTCACTTAGTTTTAATAAGTATGGAAGACTATCAACAACGAATGACTTCCTATTTGCTCGAGAGGTTTAAATTAGTTTCAGTCTCCATTTTCACTATGGTCACCATAGCAACAATATTCAAGACCTTATTTATGGCTACTGCTCAGGTGTGTCTGCTCAGACGTGCTTTCATGTTATAAAGGTATCTCAAATAAAACTCTATGAAAATTAAAATCAAAAGACAAAAGAAGCTGAACATCATTTTTGAGTGAGTGAGTGAGTGAGTGAGTGAGTGAGTATTGTTCATACGCCGCTTTGAGCATTATTAAAAAAATATCATGGTGGGGGACACAGTAATGTGCTTTACACATTGAACCCATGTGTGGAATCGAACCCGGGCATTCGTCGTGACGAGTTTCATTCAGCTTATTGGCAGTATCCAAGTTATCAGTAATATATTGATACTCACACTTAAGAAGGTGAATGTTGATCAAATAGTGGTGTGGGGTCGGTTATATCAATGAAAACATCAGGGTTTAGTCTGTTCATACAAAGTATTTCAGTTGCCATTATTCAAGATTTATCTTAATGATGGAGAAACATCTGATGGAGATATTTCTAAATGGTCGTCCTGAACCGACCATTCTATTTCTATTAGTAAAGCTTAATCTTTAAAAAATAATTTTGTATAAACGTTTATTGAGAAGTCACAGTAGATTTGGTACAATCACCGTTATTAAGGTACATTGATTTTGAGATAAGTGTTTAATAAACAAAAACTTACGGTAAACCACTTCTCTGCAATTTGATTCTGATGTTATCCCTGGATTGGTGTCTTCTAAACCTGTTTTCTGTTCGAAGAACAAACAGACTCCTTTATCAGTAGTACCTCCACGATTGATACTGAAAGTTCCACACTGAAATATATTGCCAACACATGGAGTTGCAGTAGTTGCGGTAGGAGGTGTCCAGTCACAATGGACGGCTACTGCACAGTTCTGCATGTCGTTCAGACAATGTGTTTGACAATACTTGTCATCCTTGTTTTCAACCCGTTTGATGAACGACACGTCCATATTAATTCCAAAGTCCATGTTCATGACGTGGTTCATACTAATTTGGCCATATGGCGACTTGGTGCTTTTGGTGGGATTTAAAAATCCTCCTGGTGGTGCATTTCCTGATGGAGCCGGTGCTGGAGCTGGATCTATAACAAGACAGACGCCTCAACCATAATGTTTACATTATTGTAGAATAACATTTCATATGATCAGTTATTTAAAAATTGATATTTAGATTAACATCCTGTCATAGGCTCAGTTTGGGACATCTTAGAGGCTTCATCAAGATTGATGTTTAGCACAGTATAGAGACTGTGGTAACCTTGGAAACTGGTGAGGGGGGAAGAGACTGCAACCGAATATGATTCTGCGGAAAGAGATAGAGATAGAATTAACATTTTGGCTTCATTATAACTAATGTTGTTAGTGTGCTTTCTTTTCAAAATTGTAGCTTCATTATAAAATTTTGAGATACTTTGGATGAGACAAGATCCCCACTGCCTCGATTGTTATATTTGACGTTATATGCGCATTCGGAGCTGTCATGTACTCCACTGCAGCGGAAGCACAGCAGTCTTGGCACGGCAGAATTTGGAACCATGCCCATTGTGTTTACATTTGATATATCGTTGTAGGTTCGGTATGTTTACCTCCACTCCGATGTTGAAATATGCAGCTTCTACATAGATCTCTAGCATGGCCTCACTTAATGTAAGTGTCATGCTAATCAAACGTCAAACTCGTTGTACTGAGTGACGGGATTTCATGTACAACGGTCTTTGAACATAATTCAGTCTTATCAAGGCGTTTGCAACTTTTATCCCGGGATAGACGCTGACAAACCACAAATAGTGCGACTTATCCAAGAACATCGAGGAAAATGTCTATATCATTAGTTGACAGCTACGTGTGTATTATAACTTTAAATCCATCAATCAGTACTGTTCACTTTTGACTTGACACTTATCAAGGTATTTGCAACTTCTATAAAACAGACGGTCACGGGACAGATGCAGACTAACCACGTATAATCACGTATAATGCTCAGCGACCCGTGTCCCGAATGTCTTTTCGATGAAAATGGCTGTATCAGTAATTGATAGCTACGTGTGTATTTTAACTTTAAATTCATAAATCAGTACTGTCAACTTTTGACCTGAAGACATGTCCATTCCTCTTTTGTACTGGATTCCAAAGCTCCATTAAATTCCCTAGAGATTTGTATTGCTGGGTCCAGCAAATGTACCACCAGGTTCCTTTCTCAAAGACAAACCATAATTCTTCATACAACCAAGGAATGCCTTTCTTTATATTCACAGAAAGTATTTGAGACAAATACCATGTGGATTCTAAAAACCTCAAAGGGTTTGCTTGACGTTTTGCAATCTCAGAGAAGAACCAAGTTCCGTTCTGTCAAAACATTTGATTTTTCAACTTTGTACACCACTAACCCACATGACAAACTTAAGGAAAAACTTCATTCCTTGATCCTTTTGTTACAAAATGTGGTGAACGCATATACAGTTATGTATATTCAGAGGTTGAAGCCAATTTGTGAAAAATGAAAGCAAATGACATCTGAAGTTTACTGAGAAATCAATTTGTGAAATGCGAGACATCCTAATTGATAACATCTGCGTAAAATTTGGGGGGTAAGACATTTAGGCAAGAAGTAGGCATCAACATGGGAACCAACTGTGCTCCCCTTATAGCGGATCTGTTTCTTTATGCATATGAATCGGAATTTCTGTTCGGATTGGCAAAGTCAAAACAAAGTAATTTGGCCAAGGACTTATGCTTCAGGTATGTCGATGATCTAATATCGTTCATTAACAATCAAAAAGCTAATTCCGTTTCCCCGATTTACCCACCTGAACTGGAAATAAAGGAGACCAGTGAGATCGCCTCATCTGTTTCATATTTTCTATGCATAAAGATTCAGGGTGAAAAAAGAGGGATGTCTCTAACTTTAGAATAGTCAACTTTCATTTCCCGTGTTTTTTCAGGTGCCTTTGCATGTGCCACCAGTGGGGAAGGATACGCACACATTTTCGCGAACACCTGGTATCATTACTATTTGATAGTGATTCATAAACACATGCTCGTGATATAGTCGGAATCGTACAATCGTACAATTTATGAAATGTGTAGGAACTTCTAATAAGTAAAGTTACCGACAAAGTGATACTGAAACAACATACAATAACCTCGGTGTTTTCAGATTGCATTATGAAACAAAGCCTAGCTTCCTCTATCTGGGTGAAAGTACTGCATAATTAAATTCATGATATATCTTCATGCCTACCTGTTACAGAAGGTACTCCCGACAGGAGACTTGATGACGGTGCAGGTGCAGGTGCAGGTGAGGGTGCAAGTCCACCTGACAGGAAAGGGTTTACGAGAGCAGGTGTTGGAGCGGGTGCAGGAGCTGGTTTGAGAGGCGCAACCGCTACAATGCTACCTACTGAGGCAGTATTAGTCACAGGAGGACTGAACAGGCTTTCTTTTAAAGTCGGGGGAAAGCCACACTGGCTGTGAGTGCAGGCCAGAAGGATAACAAGCGCAAATAGAACTTGACCCATTGTGGAAGCCCAGCGTCTTCTGCTCCAGAACTTCTATCCTTCCTTTATAGCTGAACAACGCGTCATATCGTGTCCATGTATGGTAAGGTTATGCAATCGTGCATGGTGTGTTGGCATTTGAAGAAAGACTATCCTGCTTTTAGATCAGCAGGTGCACACGGCATGTACACGAACATATGTCACTGCAGCTGAGACCTGATAGCTCCTAACCTATTCGTACCTCATTCGTCACCTGAACGTCGCATGGTCATATATGGTAAGGTAAAACAAACATCTTGAGGGTGTGGTGATGATTAACACCGCAGCTGTCAAATCAGCTGGCCCTGCAAGTGGACGAATGGGTTTAAAGTACACATACATGACTTGTCAGACTGTAGCTATTGATGGGCACCCTTGTGCAGTTACATATTTGAAGATACGGGGTAGAATGGGTCTTCAGCAACCCATGCTTGCCGTAAAAGCCGACTATGCTTGTCGTAAAAGGCGACTAACGGGATCAGCTGGTCAGGCTCGCTGACTTGGTTGAGGAATGTCATCGACCCCAATTGCGTGGATCGATGCTCATGATATCAATCACTGGATTGTCTGGTCCAGACTCGATTATTTATCTGTTCTTCTGAAATTTCTTCTTATCTAAGAGGATAACCCAGTGACCATAGAATGCCTAACACCTGTAAATTCGATTTTTTTAACAATAAAATGTTATGCCTTATCGTAAAATATGTCTTTGATCAAAATGCCCCTCCCTGTGAAATCTCTTTTGTCATTGTTGGCGATACTGAGAAAACTATCGGAAAATATACGGGGGTGCAAGAGAAGATATTAGAATATTTTGTACGAATGGTCACATTCAACGTTATCTGCAAGGGTTTTTTCACGGCTGAACACACCTAAATTAAACCTCATTAAGACCCCAATGGTTAATACCCCCTGTTTAAGACATCATTGCAAGAGAGTATTCCTCAGGTTCCCGACACACCAAACAATGTGTCATTTCAAGGTTATGGAGTTTGCATATGCTAAGTGTTGATGTGACAATGCAGCATGGTCGTGGTAGATGTAAAAAGACTACAGACTGTGAAGATCACAGCGTTGAGGGAGAGATTCAGATCGTCATAGGGCATATGCTAAGTGTTGATGTGACAATGCAGCATGGTCGTGGTAGACGTAAAAAGACTACAGACTGTGAAGATCACAGCGTTAAGGGACAGATTCAGATCGTCATCTGGAATATGCTAAGTGTTGATGTGACAATGCAGCATGGTCGTGGTAGACGTAAAAAGACTACAGATTGTGAAGATCACAGCTTTAAGGGACAGATTCAGATAGTCATCTGAGCATTTGCTAAGTGTTGATGTGACAATGCAGCATGGTCGTGGTAGACGTAAAAAGACTACAGATTGTGAAGATCACAGCTTTAAGGGACAGATTCAGATAGTCATCTGGGATATGCTAAGTGTTGATGTGACAATGCAGCATGGTCGTGGTAGACGTAAAAAGACTACAGACTGTGAAGATCACAGCGTTTAGGGACAGATTCAGATCGTCATCGGGCATTTGCTAAGTGTTAATGTGACAATGCAGCATGGTCGTGGTAGACGTAAAAAGACTACAGATTGTGAAGATCACAGCGTTAAGGGACAGATTCAGATCGTCATCTTGCATATGCTAAGTGTTGATGTGACAATGCAGCATGGTCGTCGTAGACGTAAAAAGACTACAGACTGTGAAGTCACTGTGAAGTGACTGGCATGAAGAACGTCTGATCAAAAAGATGTTTTAGAATCGAGTTTGTGTGGCGCCATAGTCATGTATTTGAGTCATTTCAGGTTGAGTGTGACATTTTTTATCAGTTGTAACTGACGGACTGACCAGAGCCGTCTTCATGCTCTCAGTTCGTTATTGTGTTGTTTGTTTTCTGTTTTTCGCTGGGATTTTGTATGGAGACTAGATATTTTTTTCAGATACAGCTGCAAAACTAGGTATTTTATTAATTAAAACTATGATCCTAAATATTATATTTTCCAAACGATCTTGCAACAATGTATTTTCTTTGGCAGACAATTACTTCCTATTTTCAACAGTTTGAAGAACAAGTGTTTTTTCAGTGTTCTGGTATTATGTAATTTGGTCGTGACTTGACTTTTACAATGTTACCATTAAGAATATGAGGTACCCAAAATGTTTACAGGGTTTGTTTACATGCAAGCAAGCAACATCAATCATCTTCTATTCTATTCAAATAAGGAGTAAACAAATGTAATTTATTTGGTGTGCCCTCCATGAAAGCTATTTGTGTTGAAGATATATTATCCTTTGACATTTCAAATGTTCTATATGTGATATTTATCTTGCCATTTTGTATGCTTTTAATTAACGTATTATTTGTTCTCGTTGTTATGTGCCACGTAAACCTGCCATTTGCTCAGGTTCGAATCTCGGAATTCCTATAGATGCAATATTGTAGGAGCTAGGATTGCAAAATTTACGACATTGCAGAACTGTTTGTTTGGATTCCAAAGCTCCATTTTGCGTACAAAGACAGAGATATTGAGGGGTCCAGCAAATGTTTCACCAATCCCTGTCTCAGAGATTAACCGTTATCTCTAATGCAATCAAATAGGGGCTTTCCTCGTATATGTGTATGTAGTTTATGAGTGTTGATTGTACTCACTAATGGCAGTCTCATATTTCTGAAGACTACGGGGAAACAAATATAACATAATCCATATTAAACGGCATCTTTCAATCAATTGTTCCTCATCGACTCATCCAATAACTGCCAGACATGGCAATTTATAGCATCATCAGATGCCAGTCACGTTTTGTTCTTTGACTTCCATATGTTTATGATGTCCATGATGTCAACGTACACGAGACTATCATCTGACTCTGTTTAGAAATGTCATTGAGTGGCATAAAAAGAGAGCTTAGGTCCCTTCATTTTTTCAGAAATGTTGCCTTTAAACTCGAACCGCCCACGGTTCGACATAGATAACATTGAATGAGGACATTGTGTATCACCATGGTGGCATGGAATGTTGGTGGTTATATTTCATTTTTAGTTGTTGTTTAACTAAAACTAGTACTCACATACAGAGTTTAATCAATATCTATTTCAAAGGGAAATGTCGTTAGTC